AAACAATTGAACTACAGAATTAGAGAGTAGGCTGGCGATATGTGGGAATGAGGAGGTACTGGTCAAAGGATGTGTTGGTTAGCATTTTATTTTTTTAACTTGACAAAAGCTAGAATCATCTAGAAAGAGGGAATATCACTTAGAAACAAGGCTGTATATACATATATGTATAAACATATATGTATATTATTTGTTTGAGGCTGCACAAAAGGAGACCACCACTCCAACTGAAGGGTCTGAAGAAGGTAAACTTTACTCTTGATCAAAAAGGCATGTTTGGGAGAGTGAACACGAAGAAAGACAGGAAGTGCATTTGGCTTTTATTCTCTTTAGGTGATCACAACTGTGTCTTTCCCCCTTTGCTAGGGTCTGACCTTCCAGTCTTTCAAGACTGGCTACTTTTAAAAGAGTCCACAAAGGAAAGGGCAAGGGATTCCGGTGCCAGCTCATCAAGTTCCTGGAATGCAGTCGGAGCCTTTGTGCAAACAAAGGGTTGACCTGGTGGGGTTGGATTGAAAACATTTGCATAAAAGTCTCACAAGGTGGGAGATCAAAAGATTTGAATTCTTTATCAAAAACACAAGTTTTACAGTGTTTAATAGAAAAAAAATGAATGTCCAGTATTCCTTAAATGTCTTGAGGGATTCTGTGGGGGGGGGGGGCGTTTTCTTGATTAGTGATTAATGTGGGAGGGCCCAGTTCACTCTGGGCAGTGCCACCCCCACGCAAGTGAGCCTGAGTCGCATTACAAAGCAAGTGGGGGTGGGGAGTGGCTCAGCAGTTAAGAGCATTTGTTGCTCCTGAAGAGGGTCTGGGTTTGATTACAAGCACTCACATGGTGATTCCCAGCCATCTGTAATTCCAGATCCAGGGATCCAGTGACTTCTTCTGACCTCCATGGGTACCAAGCATGTACATGGTACACCTACAAACATGTAGGCAAAACACTCATACATAAAATAAAATGAAATCTTTTTTGTTGTTGTTGCTTTTAAAGCAAGCTCAGAAAGCCACAAGGAGCAAGGAGCAAGCCATAAGCAGTGGCCCTCCATGGTATTTGCTTCTGTTCCTGTCTCCAGGTTCCTGCTGGAGTTCCTGTTCTGACTTCATGATGAACTGTGATTGAGTTGAGTAAGCTAAATAAACCTTTTCCTTCCCAAGTTGCTTTCGGTCATGGTGTTTTCAGCAATAGAACACAAACTAGGACAAAGGGTACAAACTTTCAGCCAGAAAATGAATGAGTTCTAGGATCTAGTGTGCAACATGGTGACTGTCATCCACATTATATTGTATGCTTGATATATCCTTCCTACAGAGTACATCCTTTTAGGATGTAGAATAGTTAATGCAGGGTCTTGTTACATAGCCCAGGCTAGGCTAGATCTCACTTACTGCCCAGGCTGGTCTCAAATACTCTATCCTCTTGCTTCAGCATCTTGAGGGCTAGAATTATACCTGGACTGTACAGCAAGACTTTGTTCTAATAAATAAAATAAAATAAAATGGAACCAAGATAAGGAATATACCTGAATGATGACACAGATATTCATTTTGTGGAAAAAAGTGTACAACAGTACCTATTCTTTGGATTTCCTTTTAAATAATATATTTTTGTTTATAAGAAATTTAAAATTATAGTAAAGTGGCTTAAACATCATTAAAATCAGTGCAAAGAGATTACCAATACAAAGAGTTCAGGAGAGGACTATTTATTTATTTAGAGACAAGCAGTCATGTAACTCTAACTCAAGCTGACCTTGAACTCTAGATCCTCTCATCTCTATCTACCAAGTACTAGGATTACAGATGTGTGCCACTATGGTCATCTAGGCATAAGAATTAAAACATGATTATATCCTGATTCCTTAACTCAGTTATATAACACAAATTTGGCACATGTGTATAGTATTACAGGTGAGATACTGTCTAGTACAATATAAGGTATGGTCCACAGTAGAAGAATATAACCAAGACTAATCTGAGGACATGATTTACAGAAGCACATTGAGTTTCTCAAATTTAGTTTTAAATGCCTGCTCCTGCACTTATGGCCTGCATGACATTGTCAAGTGAATTAATCTAAGTCTTCATTTTCTTACTTGTAAGATGGAGATAATAAGATGGACCGCATTCAAAAGTCATCAGAAAGTTTAAGTAAGATACTTAAAGAATAGAAAAGAGAGTTTATTACAAGGTCTCTTTTTTCTCCCAACTTTACTATTAGTTAGTTGTTACTTTAAGTTAAGCTCCTAAGTCTTCATTTTCTTACCTGTTTTGCCATGTCAAATGATATTTTAAAAAGTGCTTTGAAAAGACACTGTACAGCTACATGTGAAGGACTCCTGTTGGGATGTATAATCGGTCTGTAGTTAAAAATCATCTTAAGTTCAGAGCTTGAACCTCTGTATTTGACAGTCTGACCAATTTAGTGCATTGCCTGGGATTTAGTCCATCACAGGTTAAGAAATCCACAACAAAGCCTTACCAATCAGAAACTACTCTTGTATTAGTTGCCTTTCAAATGTGTTATCTCTTAAATATATCTTTGCAACGAAGAGAAAAATGTATTAAACTGATTTAAAAACAAACGAAGAACAAACCACCCAAAAGGAAGCCATGTCAATTACTGCAGGGGGATCTTCCAGCTTTTAATTTATATGGCTTTCTACATACTTCAGAAAGTGGTAAGCAAGAAAGCCAGCTGAAATTAGTTAATGCTGCTGTTTCCACACATGCCAAAGGTTTCAGTGCTGAGTAACATTATCCCTGCTTTGCAAAGATCCAGGCTGTCCACCACCACTTGAAAATTTAAATACTTTCATTTATTTTATCTTGCATCTATGTTGACACCCAGTAAACTGCCTGGATTGTAATAGTAAAGATGCAATCAGTATTTCATTAACTGAATGATTTCATGTATCTCTACATGTGGTTGAAGACTGGATTTAGAGTCCAAAGACTAGTGCTTCCATGTTAGCTCCATTCCTTTTGAATGTGTGATCTTGGACAATTATTTGATTGTGTGAGACAGGATTTGTGTTTTCTCCCCTCCACACCTGTGTGTGTGTGTGTGTGTGTGTGTGTGTGTGTGTGTGTACCCCAGGCTGGCCTTGAATTGGTGATCCTCCTGGCTCAACACCCTGAGTGCTGGGATTATAGTCATGTGTCACCATGTCTGGCTTTTTTCCCCTTGAGTTTTCAAATAAGAGAATGCATATGAATGGTTTGTAAATTATAGAACACAAAACTTCATGTGCTATCATGATTAATCATTAGTAAATTTTATCTTACCAGAACCTCAAATGTAGACCTGCTAATGCTTATTGGTTAATAGAAGCAAGTGTATGTTTAACATAAAAGTGAAGACAGAAGACAGACTGGCAATTGTACTGTTCCAATTCATTATTCTATGGCATTGAAAATAAGGTCACAGGACTGATGAAACAATGGGCAAACTCTAGTGCAGTTTTGGAGCCAGGGTGTCTTTGATCATGATACAATACTGGGCTTCAGTGAATTCCCTTAGAGTATTCATTAACAAAATAGCCATTTGTTCTTGCATACTTCAAGCTAGCAGATGCAGGTTTTAAACCCAGAGACCCTTTCATTTGCATTATGTGCTAGGTGAAAAGATGTACAAGCTTTCACAAGTGTGTGGGACTGCATTCGAGATTGTAATTTCACAATGCAATGAAACTTATACAGTCTACATTTTATTTGTAGATAGTAATTTACAGACTTGAAAACTGGGACACAAATGAGACACACAAAGAGGAAAACAACAAATGAGTGAAGAAAACATAAAACAGACAACTAGATCAAAGTTCAATTTCTGCCAAAGACCTGGGTAGTCCCATTTCTGTTACTCATATTTCTGTAAATTTGTGTGGGGGCAGTTAAGTGTGGGTATAGATAACGAAAATAGAAAGGATATTGCAGGTGGGGAAAAGATTTTTATAAAGGGCAGGGGAGAGAATATTATATGACATGAAAGTGGAGACTGAACTACTGCGAGTGAAAGAGGGGGAATAGGAGATGAAGGAGAGGTGTGGGGGAGAAGGTCAACCCAAATAAAGCATTATGAAAACCATATACTGAAACCTATCACACTGAAACAAGCAAACAAATAAGCAAAACAAATTGTTGAGTTACTTGTTTAAAATAAAGATTCCTGGGTCTTATTTCATGATTACTGTATTAGAATCTCAATGGTAAGCTCTGAGATGTTGCTTATTTTATTGTTTTTGAGACTAGGGCTTGCTGTGTAATCCAGGCTGGCTTCGAACTCTTGATCTTTTTGTGTCAGCTTCCACAGAGCTGGAATTACAGATGCGTGCCTTCATGTCCAGTCAAAACTCAGCATTTTAACAAGTTCTACAATTGTTCTGATACACACAGATGCTTGAAAATTACTGTCCTAGACATTAATCTCTTTATGGTGAGTACCTATGAATTTCCAAGTATTGTTTGGAAGAACAAAGTGACGTATCAAAAACGACAACAAAATTTCCACAGTAACGTGTGCAATACAGGGCCCAACCAATACTAGTAAGAAAAACTTTGGTGGTCAAGCACACTTATGAAAGTGCAGCTTGTAAAACAGTCTAGAAAGGCCAGGCTTTTCAGTAGCCTGCTAGGTGTTCTTACTTCCTTCTTCTGTAACACAGATAAGCTATTAGCTTGAAGATACAAAAAACACACTCAAGTACAATTTCTTTGTTAAGTCACAAAGTCTGAAAGCATGTGCCTTATGTGTATATAACCCACCCGTACTTTCTCTTGACTGTACCAAACTTCTGTTTTCAGAAAGTCTTAGGGGTTTCCGGGGCACTCAGCAATGAGGAATCTCCGGTTTAGCCACGTTTGCCAGGCTACGTGTGAGAGTCTATCAAGCTCAGACTCGAAAGGGTTAACAAACCAGCCTGCTGCTGACTGGCAGGCAGACAGGCCAATAAGGTGTCTAAGCCGGCAGTGCGTCTCGTGGGGGCGGGTATGGGACAAAGCGTGCAAAAGGACCGCGGAGGCCTAGGGGTGAGAGGGCAGACAGGGTTAGAGATTTGGTGGAGGCGGGGGCCCGGAGAAAGCACGTGTCCGCATCCCTTTCTTCCTGCTCTTTATCCCTATATCCTTAGGGTTTGACTGCTGCCGAGACAGCCCCGGGGCCCTGTGTATGGCCACGGAGTTACAGTGTCCGGACTCCATGCCTTGTCACAACCGGCAAGTAAACTCTACTTCTACCCCAAGTCCCGAGCGTCTGCGAGCAGACGACCCGATCCTGGATCATGCCGAAGAAAATAACGCTGCTATGGCTAAGCTGACTCTGCTCCCCGGGCACGCCCATTCTAGCGTGCTCTCGGAGCGGGACTCTCAGGCCTGCTGTGGCACTAATCCTCACTCTGAGAACCACAGTGACAGTAGTGACAGTGGCAACTACGAAGCACCTGTCGGCGACTCCCTGCTAGGGGACTCTGAACTCTCCCGACAAATTGGGGCACAGCTTAAGCTGCTGCCTATGAATGATCAGATCCGGGAGCTGCAGACTATCATCCGGGACAAGTAAGCCCAGAGCGGAAGGGGGAAAGGGAGTGGAGGGGCTGCAGGGGGAAAGTAAAAAGCCAGTGTTTGAATTTGGCAAACTGGTCTTTGGGGATTCGAGCCAGGCCTCTTTCTTTGGCATGTGAGTAGGAGGGGAGTCAGCTAGACACATCTATAACCCTCTCTTAGTTCTTGTGGTTAACATTGCTTTGTGTAGGAATGAAACCTTGTAGGTAGCCTTCAGCGTCTTCCGGCCTCTTTGTCTCTCTTAAGCAGAACCAATCCTCAACTGTGCCAGGCAGGTACACACCCCTAATGCCATCTGCTCAGTTCCTGACCACGTGGTAAATGTATAACCCAGAAATGGTTACTGCCTATGATTATTATCACCTAGCAGCCCAGGCTCACAGAAATAAAGCAATTGCAAGTGAAATGATATTGTGCTTCCCTGGCCCTCTGACTCACAGCATTTGCTACTGCAGTGTGCCATTTGTTTACTGTGTGGGAGTTCAGGTTTACCTGGACTTCAGAAAGTTTATTGTTCCATTCTGATCAAGATTGTCTTACTGAGAACTTACAGGTCGTAGTTAACAGCAAAGGCAGTCTAAGAACATGTTGGACCCTCCTAATCCCACAAATCAGTGTAGCAAGAACTTCATGTTAAAATATGAAGTTTGGAATATGAGTTTTCTCTGAAAAATATGTACCACAATGAAATACAGCTGCTGTCCTTCCTTCTTGTCCTCCTTTCTTTTCTTTTTTGAGACAGGGTTTCCCTAAGTTGCTGCTCATACTCTGGCCTCAAACTCCAAGGCACAAGCCAACCTCCCAAGTGGGTGGAACTACTGGACATGAGACCATACCTGGCAGCTTTAAATGAGTAGCTACAGCAATATAAGACCACTATCTTCCCAGTGTGCCTTGACATTTTAAAAATGCCCTCACCTAAATCAGATTTTAGCAACTTTTTCTTCGTCCTCTTGTAATAGGCTCCTGTGTTTCCTCACTGCACTTGTCTTGAGGCGTTCACATTCATGCACCTTTTTTTTTTGTTTGTTTGTTTGTTTTTCGAGACAGGGTTTCTCTGTGTAGCTTTGTGCCTGTCCTGGAACTCACTTGGTAGCCCAGGCTGGCCTCGAACTCACAGAGATCCGCCTGGCTCTGCCTCCCGAGTGCTGGGATTAAAGGCGTGCGCCACCACCGCCCGGCTCATGCACCTTTTTAAAGCATAGCAGCCTTGATTTGCTCCCTGCCATCTCAGCAGCCTTCGCTGGCCTATGAGAACCTACTAAAGTCGGGGATGTTTGGCCCTTTTCGTTCTGCTTTCTTTTGGAATGCCCTATATCCCTATTTATGAATGGTCAGGTCCTATTTTTCAAGGCTAAACCCATTCTTTCTGGCTCATTTTCCTGATCTTTTTAAAAAGAAGACTTGTCTTCTATTTTGAATATTATTGTGTATTACTCCCTTTCCTTGCTTATTAGACTTTATTATGCTTTATGACAGAAATCTTTTTATATTTTTGAATTACAACCATTCGTTGCCAATAATAGATGCTCAATCATTAAAGATTGTTTCTACCTTTTGTGGACATAGAGTTTTATTGTATAGCCCAGTCTGGCCTCAAACGTTTGATCCTCCTGCTTCAGCTTCCTGGATGCTTGAGTTACAGGAGCGCGCTACTGTGCCTGGATCTAGCTCTCAAAATTATATTTATGAAACTGTACTATTTGTTTATAAAGAATCAGTATTGAAAACTGTGATCACGTGATCTAATGGCATAGAGGGCTTTAAAGAGATGAGGCATAGGCTTGGTAACAGTTGTTGAGAAATAAAGAAAATTTGATGATTCTAATTTTGGATCTTGGACCCTATTACCCTTATAGATGAGTTTCAGGGCTTAGGAAGTTTCTGGTAAATTGTATTTGTCCGTTGTAATGGTTGTTTTAAAAATAATGTCTTTATTGAAAGACTGGAATTTAGCTCAGTGGTAGAGAACTCTCGCGTTGTAGACATAAGACCTTGGATTTGATTCCAAGCACTGCAAATAAAAGAACATCTTTATTGAGATACAATTCATATACAACTGAAGCATTTTAAAGTATACAACTTTATATATATATATATATATATATATATATATATATCAGTTTTATATATGTTCATGACTGTGTTTCATCACCTACCACAATCAGTTTTAGAACATAGTCATGGCCTCAACAAGAGACCTCACAGGTCAATCCACATTTCTCTAACATCTCCTCAATCCCTAGGCAGTAATTAGTTTACTTCATATTTCCAGCAGTTTGCCTATTCTGGGCATTTCTTTTTATTTTTCTTTGTGTGTGTGGTATATGTGTGTGTTCATTTTTGTGTGGGTGTAGGTATGCATGCATGTATGTATGTATGTGGAGTGTAGAGAGATGTTGACATCTAGAACCTTCCACTATCACTACACACCTTATTTTTTGAGACAGTGTCTTTTACTAAACCTGGAGCTCACCATTTCAGCAAGACTTGTTGGCTAGCAAGCTCCAAGGATCATTCCATCTCTTTTTTTCCGGTGTTAGGATTAAAGGTGTGCATCAGCCCAGCCTTACATGGGTACTGTGGGGTCTGAATTCAAGCCCTTATGCCGGTGTGCAAGCGCTTTACTAACTGAGCTATCTCCCTAGCCCTTACATTTATTTAACTAATATAAAAATGTAAAAGTTTTGCATGTCAATGGAGTAGTACATAATGGTTAAATCAGGTTAAATATGTTTTTCCAAGCACTTGTCAACCCTTCATGGTAAAAGCTTTCTAAATATTTTATTCTTGCTTTTTGAAATGTGCATACATTATTATCTGTAGTCCACCTACTATGTAACAGTACAACAAAGCACTTGCTAACTAATTCGAACTCGGTACTCCTTGATCAAACTTTCTACCTCCTTCTCGTTCCCCTTTCTTCCCCAGCCTGTGCTGAAATCCATTTTACTGTCAAATTCCCTGAGATCAAGTTTTCAAGACTCCACATATGAGTGAGATCATGGGGTTCTTGCTATTTTGGACAGTTCAAATCAAAGGAGTCAATATTATATGATGCATATGTGACTGGTTTCTTTTACTGTAATATTGGCTAATTTCTTTTAGTGTAATGTTTTCAGGGTTCATTCCTTTTTGTGGCTGAATGGTACTTCATTGTATAGACATGCTGCAGTTTGTTTATGTATCCAATGGGTAATGAACATTTGGGTAGTTTCCACTCTCTGATTATGATGAATAAGGCCACTGTGAACATTTGCTTCTATGCCTTTGTACAGGGGTGGGGATCTTTAGTTTTCATTACATTTCATAAAGGATCATGATGTAAAGGTTAAAAACCTTTAATACAGAGCTTGGAGAGAGTATGACATTTAGCATTTGCATATGATAGTATCTATATGTCTTGATTATATTACATTATTTAGAAAAGCTTGGATTATATAGCAACTTGAGAATAAGTGGAATCCTTTATATTTTTATTCTGATTTTGAAAAAGGAGACAGTAGAATCCCATGAAAGGATCTTAGGCAAGATGTTTAACATCTCTGTGTTTCTGCTTTATAATTTATAAAATGAAGATGTTAGTGCAGCCTCATGGAGCTCCTGAGAAGCTAAAACAAGATAGTATCCGTGATCATTGTTATAAACTGTGAATCGCTGCGTATATTTACAGCATTTAAATTCTTCGAGTTGGAAATTATGCATGCTTTTTACTGACACAGTATAAGGGATTTGCTTGTACAGAGAATTCAGATTCTTTATTTGAAAATCAATACCAAAGCCAGATCTTGTGGTTCATGCTGCTAATCCCAGCATTCAGGAGGCTGAGTGAGAAGGATTGCTGTAGTTGGAGGCTAGTCTATGGTGATTAGTGAGGAACAAGCCAGCCAGAGCTACCTAGCAAGACCTTCCTCAAAACAAACAAAAATACTGAAAAAGCCTACATAATTTGTATCCCGCTTTGACACAGTACAGAAAGACCTACTGTGGTTTTCCCTAATGAGTTGGTGCTTATCCAGGCTGGAGACAGTGTTTTTTAGTTTTGTTTCTGTTAACCAGCATAATCTGGTAACAGAAGCTTTCTCTTCTTTCTTTTTTTAATTGTCTTGCCGTTATGCAAACAAGACCCGTTTCAGGTTCTGTAGGAGCTGACAGAGTGTCTGTTGTAAGCAGAGCAATATTCATGTAGGTCTAGTTATGGAAAGTGCAACCGGTTGTCATAGTCTGTCCTCTTTGAGGCATATGCTTTTCTCTGTTTTGATAGGACAGCATGCATATATATTATGGAGGTGTCTGATACTAGAAGCCCTGGGAGTACATGTTGTTTCTTTTATTGTTCCTGGTTCTTAGAATCTATCTGCTGAAGGGATTGCTTTATGAATTGACTCTGGCATGGAGAAATGGGGTGACCCAACAGGACTGCAAGTTGTTGTGTATCTATCTATAAAGCAAGCAAGATTGAGGACATTGTACTGATTTAAAATGACTTTATTTTTTGAAGTGTACAATATTTGAAACGTAATATGTTGGCTGTATTATTGAATTTCAAGGAAATGATTTTCTCTCTTTGAGAGTGCAGTAATCTAAACACCAAATGGAATGGATAATTTACTCAGCTACACATACATGGGTCACCGGCAAACAAGGAAAAAAATGACTCCCTCATTTTCCTGTGGTTTCTTTTTTGTTGCTGTTGAAATGGATTAAACTATGCATTCTTCTCTTCCTGAATAATAAGCCCAGTAGAATCTGGGTGTAATGTACTTTCCCTCTTGAACATGGTTCATGACCTCATACGGAAGGCAATGAAGGGAATTTTTAAAAATCATCCTCCAGGCCCCAGTTGTATGGAGGCGGGGAGGAAGGGAGGGAAGGAGGAGGGGAGGGGAGGGGAGGGGAGAGAGAGAGAGAGAGAGAGAGAGAGAGAGAGAGAGAGAGAGAGAGAGAGAGAGAGAGAGAGAGATTGATTTTGTCTCCTGAAATACTAGAGTAAA